ATAATGGGATCCAATCGGATTGGAGATGCTGGGGGGGGGGCTGGTCATGGTGAAGAGGGCAGAGGGCTATGGGTGAGGTTGCTAGGGATTTTGGGAAGTGAAAAGTTAATTCAAGGTAATGTGAGCAGTAATATTAAAACAAAACTACAAGACGATCTTCGGTCGTGTGATTGACTTGTGTATGCTTGTGTGTTGTGGTGCGGGGTGCAGAAACTGACGCGGAGAGACTGCATGGGCCACAATACAAGGCCAGGTCAGAACAGAGAACCTGTGCTTTCGACACACACACGATATATATAAAAACAAACAAATTAAAACCTAAAAAAAGCAACAAAAAAAAATGTTTTGTTACATTTCATGTATAAAGCACCAGATTGAACTTCATGGGAGGTTCGGGGGGGGGGGGGTTGGTGTTAAAAGAAACAAAGGTGATTCCATTTTTCTACTTGTACTTAAGTGTGCAACAATGGAAAAAGGCCAAGGATTCGCCCAAGTGCAGTTCACACTCCCCGCACCTCAAGCGGAGTCAGAGGGCACTGAAACCCACCAAAACACAAGGCTGCAGTTACACAAGTCCACCACAAGGGGGGATGGGGGGGCACTTGTATCAGTGGGCAGGATAGAGCAGGCCAATGATCAGTGATCCGGAAACACCACTGTGGCAGCGTACGCTTCTCAAGGATGCATATGTGGGCTGGTGTGTAGGAGGAGATGCCAAAAAGTCAACCTGGAGTCCCATTTACAACAAAGGGATAGCGCATCATTCTCTTCCAGCTCCCAGTCTTCTGACATTAGCACTTCTTGTTGCGTAGAAGCGTTCATGCAGAATGACCCCAGAAAACCACACCCATAATCGTACCCTTCAGAAAGTCCACAATGGCTCAGCAGGCTGTGGCTAACCAGCTTCCAAGCACGCCACTCCCCCACCCATCCTGAAGTCTTATCAGGCCCACATCCCTCAACCCCTCTGTAGACAGCTGAAACTTCACATTGAATGGAACCCATTTGGCAGCATAAACATGATACGGATCAGCTGAAAATAATAAGCCAAAGATACAAAAATACAAGAGATTGAATGGCACCGCCTGCAGGAATCGTAAAATTGGACTAAATTGCCCCTTAGTTGTTTAAAAACGTGAGCTGTGCCCAGCTGGGAGCTTCAGATTCATGCTAATATCTAAAAATTTAACCCACACAAAGCTAGGAGGTTGGCTGTAAAGTTAGTAAGTAGACACAAAAAAAGAAAAAGAAAAAAAATTTGAAGAATTTTCTTGCTCAACGGGTAAAAGAAATGAGGGTGCAAAACATGAGGGGGAAAAGGTAAAAAAAAAGGCCAGCTAGCCTAGCACCATACTCAGGCAC